GATGGCCTTTAAAGAGGGAGAGGTTATGGCATGAAGTGGTGGCAAGTATCCTTGGCTGTTCTGGAAATGGTTGGGATGTAGGGGTATCCAGACAGGCAACTCTTGCAACACCTTGGAAGGCAATTCATGGCATCCTCCCACAGTTCCTCCGCTTTGTAAGGTATGATGCTTGCTTTGGGACTCGTGTTCTTTTCTGGGAAGGCACGAGTGGGAAATTTGCCCCTTAAGGATCTGTTCCCTTCTCTCTTCTCTATTTCCCTTTATAAAAAAGAACCAGTGTCTTCATTTCTTTTGTCCCCGTATGCCCCTTTATTGACAAGTTGGGACCTTGGCTTCCGTAGAGGGTTGAGGGATGAGGAATCCTTATCAGCTTCTGAGCTTTTATTGTTACTTGATTTTGTTTGCTTGGACCCACTCATTTCTGATAGGAGGATTTGGACTTTGACTCTGAAAGGGTCGTTTACTTGTGCATCTTTCTTTAAATCCCTTTGCTCCAATTCCTCTCCTTGGGCTTTCCCAATTAAGGAAGTTTGGTCTAGGTCTATTCCCCCAAAAATAGCTGTTTTTTGTTGGGAAGTTTACTATGGTAAAATCAATACGATGAATAACCTGTAGAAGAAAAGACCTTTCTTGTGTTTATCCCTAACTGGTGTATTTTGTGCAAAGCGCAGAATGAGGACTGTTACCACTTATTGATTTCTTGTCCTTTTGCTGCAGCCATTTGGAATTGGATATTCGATTTGTTTTGAGTGCAAGTGGAACTTGCCAATTGAGGTAAGTTTGCTGTTTTCCCCATCTACCTTTGTGTGGACCACAAGAAGAGCGAGAATTATGTTGAAGTGTATAAGAGCAGTTCTCCTTTGGACTATTTGGGAAGAGAGAAATTCCAGAATTTTTCAGGAGATGGAAAGAAGCATTCTTGAGGTCAAGGAGTGTATTTTTACAAGGACTATTTTGTGGATGTAATCCTTAAAGCTCTTTGAAGATTATTCCTTTGAGGATTTAATGAGGAATTGGTCTGCAGTTGCCCTCACTTCCTCTAGGAAGCTTAGAGTTCATCTAACTTGGACTCCGCTGATGGAGGGTTTTGTTAAGCTGAACTTTGATGGAAGTAGTCAGGGTAACCCAGGACCGTCTGGGATTGGTGGTGTACTGAGAGACGAGAACAACAACATTATTGCCGTTTTTTCGGGACCGGTGGGAATAGGAGACTCTGTGAGGGCTGAACTCCTAGCTGCGGCACAGGGGGTACAGATTGCTTATCAACTTGGAGTGCAGAATTTAATAATTGAAGGAGATTCCAAGGTGGTAGTAGGATGGTTGGCTGACTCGGGTATTGTCACTTGGTACTTAAAGGATATTTTAAAAAAGGTCAAATGGCTATTGAGGGACATGACAGTTAGATTTTAGTGGTTGGGTAGATCGGCTAATGCCTTGGCTGATTATCTTGCTAAACAAGGGGCTACTCGGGTCTCCTTGTATTGGGCTTCTCTGTAATTTTCTTTATCCTTTGTTATGTTCTTTAACTAAAGGGTTGATGATTTCCTCCATCTCCCCTCCTTAAAGGGGAGGTAGCATCTCGTGCCTCTCCCTAAATTGTACTATCTTTGGCTTTGATTAAATAAATCTTACAATTCACTGATAAAAAAAATTGTAGTTGATAACTTTCCAACATTGAGAGGGATTAGGCAGGGTGGCCCTCTCTCCCCCTTTCTTTTTACCTCGGTAGCTGATGTCTTGGGGAGATTAATCCAGAAAGCAAATTCTAGGGGGTTGGTAAGAGGATGGAGAGTGGGAAGGGGTAGTGTGCCTATTGAACATTTGCAGTTTGCTGATGACACAATTTTATTTTGTAAAGGAGGTGATCTTAGTTGCGTGAGAAATATGAAATTAGCGGTTCAACTTTTTGAGCAAATGTCAAACCTGAAAATCAATTTTGGAAAGAGTTGTGTGGTCAGAGTGGATATGGATGAAAGGGAGATGTTAGATTGTGCAGCTATCTTGGGTTGCGAAATATCAAATTGGCCTATGAATTACTTGGGCCTCCCCTTGGGAGACAATCTGAGAAATGGTAACTTTTGGAACCTGGTGGTGGATAGAGTAACAAAGAGATTAGCTTCCTGGAAGAGGAATTACCTATCCTTGGGTGGGAGGGTAACCTTAATCAAATCAACTTTGACTAATTTACCTGTTTACTTCTTGTCGGTGTTCATAATTCCAGTTGGGGTTTCCAAAAGCCTACAAAAACAATTAGGGACTTCTTGTGGGAATCAAGGGAGGAAAGAATAGATCATAGGGTTAACTGGGAAACTGTAATTAAAAGTATGAACTTTGGAGGCTTAGGAATTGGCAATATTCAAAAAAGAAATGAGGCTCAGTTAGGAAAGTGGTTGTGGAGAGTACCAAGGGAAAAGGAAAGGTTATGGGCCAAGGTGATTGTGAGTATTCTTGGGTTGACAGCTGAGGGCTGGGATGCGGGAGTATTGGCTTGTTCAAGGTAGCGGCAAGAAAGGATGTAGAAATTGGTAAAAGCTTGGGTTTTTTTTTTTTGGGAAGGTGAGGATTTCGCCTTAAAAGCTTTTAAAGATTTTGAGAGGAAGAAGAAGGAAGAGAGCTCGAGAAAAGGGTTAATTGGAAGAGGGAAATGGGATGAAGATGGCAACAACCAAAAGGAGGTTCTTGATGGAGGAGATTAAATTCTCTCTTTTGTTTGTACCTTTTTTTTGCATCTCAGTTTGTCCTTTTGTTCTTGGTCCAGGTGTTGGTGCCGGAAGAGTTAGGCTTGTTGTGTTGTCTGGTGTCTTTGTCTATTAGTATTTGGTGTAAGAAGGGTCTAAGCCAGTTTTCTTCTCTTGGGTGATTTCTTATCACCTTCCTATGTATTTCTTTTTATTTTAATGAATTTTTTCTTTACCTTTCAAAAAAAAAAGTATTGTCTCAAGCTACCAGTGCTTCTCCTTGGAAGTCTATACATGCCATCCTTCCTTTTATCCAATACAGTCTTTGTCTGGGAATTTGGTAAAATTTTGGGAACATTTGTGGGTGGGGGATTTACCCTTGAAAGATCGTTTTCCCTCTCTCTTTGCCTTGTCTGATTACAAAAATGAACCAGTTTCCACCTTCCTCTAATCCCCCATATTTGGGACCTGGGTTTCAGAAGGGGAACCGGGGATTCAGATCTAAATTTACAAGGTGTTTGCTTGGACCCTTCAAAGTTGGACTCACGTATTTGGATTCCCTTTCCTTCTGGGTCTTTTTTTGTGCCTCTTTCTTCAGAGCTTTAACTTTGAATTCTGATAGTGTTGGGCAAACATTTCCAGTTAAGGAAGTCTGGGGTAAACCGATTCCTCCTAGGAATGGGGCTTTCTATTTGGAAGCTTTCTTTGGGAAGGATTAACACTGGTGATCTCCTTCAAAGAAAGAAGCCTTTTTGGTGCTTATCTCCTAACTGGTGGGTTCTTTGTAAAGCTGATGGTGAGTCCTTCTATCACTTATTAGTTTTTTGCTCTTTTGTTTCTTCTATTTGGGAATGGCTCTTTTCTTTGTTTGGTTGTAGATGGATTCCTCCACCAGATGTTCAAGGTCTCTTTGATTCCGCTGCTGGTAGTTGGGCAAAGAAGAGGGGGAAGGTTCTGTGGAGATGTACAAGGGCAGCAGTTTGTTGGACAATTTGGGAGGAAAGGAATAACAGAATTTTTGGTGACAAGGAAAGGTCTAGAGGGGCATTAATTGAACTAATCATCACAAGGGTATTGCAATGGGTGAAGTCTTTGAAGCTATTTGAAGATATTTCAACAACAGTTTTGCTGAACAACTGGAAGGAAGTGGCTTGGTCAGCTCCCAATAAGAGTGTTATCCATCCATTATGGACTGCTCCAGCTCTTGGTTTCATAAAGCTAAACTTTGATGGCAGTAGTGAAGGAAACCTTGGCCCTTCAGGCATTGGAGGGGTATTTAGGAATGAGGTGAAGTCCTAGCTGTTTTGGAAGGTGTCAAAAAGGCTAAGGAGCTCAACTTAAGGAGGTTAGTTATTGAGGGAGACTCAAAATTGGTAATAGATTGGCTGCAAAAAGAGGAGACCAGTATGTGGAGTTACTTAAATGAGAAAAGAATCTTCAAATGATTGATCCGAGACATGACGGTGAGGTTACAATGCGTAAAGAGGTATGTTAATTCCTTTGCAGATGCACTAGCCAAACAAGGGGTGGGAAGGAATCAATTATTCTGGGCTTACATGTAATTTTTAATTTTTGGGGGAGTTAAGAGAGTTTATCTCTCCTGCCTTTGTACCTACATCTTTTCTCATTAATGAATTGCTTCTGTTACTGATAAAAAAAAAGAAGCCTTGGAAGCAAACTTACAGTGAAGGCCAATGTTTTCAAGGGGCTATATTTCCTGAGAAGCATGCACAAACCTATCATTCTGGACATTTATAAAAAAAGAAAAAAACCCTATCATTCTGGACTTGTCATTTAAGAGAACTACTGAAACACCAAAGAGCAGACTTAGCATGCAAAAAATATTTATTGTTTCAGGAAGAAAATATGCAGCAGAGAATGCTCATGCCATAGTTTTGGAAGAAAAGCTGAAGACAATAAAGAAAAAAAAAACTGAAAAAAAAAAACCTCTCCTCTATACAATACTGTAGCTTGTCCTAACAGGTAAAATAGAAAAAAATAAAATTTTGGTATAGGGTAAAAATAAAAAATGTGAGGAAAAGACTTGATGATAGAGAAAGAGCTTGGGAAGCACACACATTTGTTTCCTTCAAAAAGATCCATTGCTTTTATAATCTTTATATACTGAAAAATTGTTCTAGAATGTATTAAATTCTATATATTTGGGTATGGCTTATCGAAGCCATTATGAATCTGTAAACAGAAATGCAGTTTGTGCATGTATTTGTGTGCATAAGCATGTTTAAGATGATGCTTCTATTGCCTTCTTTTTGAAAGTTTCTGTTTCTTTCTTTCAATTTCTTTCTTTTCATGTCTTTTCAGCAAGTCTTGGTGGAGTTGGCAAATGACCCAAAGCTTGTCTACCATTGTGGATTGACTCCAAGAAAGTTACCTGTATGTGATTTAACTATTTTACAGTTTTCCCTTCTGTCTTGCACTTGTTTTGCCATTCCTTTAAGCTTCTTTTCTCACCTTCAGGACCTGGTGGAACACAATCCTCTTATTGCTGTTGAAGTTCTGATAAAGTTGATGAATTCCACTGAAATTTCAGAGTAAGATTGTTCCTTTTATTTTCTCAATTTATTAAAATATTTATTCATTTGTTTTTCTTGTAGAAGATCCAGACTAGATATCTCGTAATTCTTATGTTTCCTCTTCTTGTTTACAGATACTTCAATGTTCTTGTAAATATGGACATGAGTCTACATTCCATGGAAGTTGTGAACAGGTTGACTCAAGCAGTTGATCTCCCTACAGGATTTGTACACATGTACATCACAAATTGTATATCATCCTGTGAGAATATCAAGGTTTGCTCCTTTATTTTTTTCTGAACAAATTGTCTATTCATTTGTTTTCTTTGTTTATATGGGAATCGGAAGCTGTTAATTGGCTTTGCCCTGTGAGACCATTTTGGGTTCCATAGGAATTCTCAAATTTGATAATGTAAGAGAGAAAACAAGTCATTCAGGACCCAAATGAATCTAACGGTCCTACTCTGATTTGGTATAACAATTTTATTTGAATGGAAGTATCATGCTAGACACATGGTATTTCGCAATGAGTCCATATTCTTGTGTTGATAATTTTTCTTTTCATTTTTCTATATTCAATTAAAAGATAAAGGGCATTTATTAATCACAGATAAGAAATGTTGTCAAAGAGTACATAAACCTTTCTCCCACTTGTTGTGATAGGAAGGACCATAGAAAGGTTATGAGGTTGGCTGAAATCCTGTAATAGGGCTTCAAAAATACCTGTGCTCCAGCATGCTCATCCCCTAATAAAATGAATCTTTTACTTGACCACCCTTTGCTGCTAATGACCTGCCTCCTTAATGTAGTTTCCTAGGTGTTATATTGAAGGATAGATCAGATGGTTTTGAATGGACACTCACTAATGTGAATGGGCAGAAACAAGCATAAATGTTGGAAGGAGATGTACAATGTAAGAGAACTTTGGTAACATCATTGGGTAATTGGTGGTAATTTAGTGTGATTAGATATTGCCATGTCAAAAATCAAATGCTTTAATAATAGGCTGAACTGTATGTTGAACTAAAGGTTTTGCCATTAGCCAATGCCAGTTTTATGTGGTTGAACATGTAGGCCAACCCCTTAGAAAAATGGATGGATTTTTGTTAATACATGTTTGGTAAAACTATTAGAGGTATTATTTAATCTGCCTTGGAAGAAGAATTATCTTTCTCTAGGGGGGAGGATCATACTCATTAGGTCTACCCTAACTTACCTATCTATTTTTTGTTAGTGTTCAAGATTCTGCAGAGGTCTCTAGTAGATTGGAAAAACTGATGAGGGACTTTTTGTGGGAGCTAGGAAAGGAAAAGAGGGACCTTAGGGTGGGTTGGGAGGTGGTGACTAGAAGTAAAAAGCTAGGAGGGCTTGGGATTGGGAACATTAGGAAAATGAACATGGCATTACTGCAGAAGTGGTTGTGGAGGTTCTCCTTAGACAAGGAAAAGCTGTGGGTTAAAATAGTGGCTAGATTCATGGGCTTGAGGACAACGGATGGGATCCTGGAACTGGAATTCTAGCAAGTATTGCAAGTGCTTCACCTTGGAAAGCCATCCATGACTTGTTACCGGCTTTCTCCCCTTGGATCAGGTATGATTTGAAGTCAGGCAGCCTCATAAAATTTTGGGAACAACCTTGGGTGGGGAATTACCCTTTAAAGGACCAGTTTCCTTGTATGCTCTCTCCGACCTGAAAAATGAGCCTATTTCACCCTTGTTCCTTTAAACTTGAGTTCTGGTTTTGGGTGGAATTTGGATCTGAGAAGGGCTGTTAGGGATACAGAATTGGGTATCACCTTGACTCTTCTGAGATTCTTGAAAATGTTTTCTTGGACCTTACAAAGGAAGATACTAGAATTTGGACTTTCCCCCTCGGGCTCCTTCTCTTGTGCCTCGTTCTTTAAAATCTTAACTCAACCGCCTGGCCCTATTGGTTTTTCCTTCCATGTTAAAGAGGTTTGGTGTAAGCATATTCCTCCTTGGGTCGGGAGTTTTTGTTGGGAAACTATCCTGGAAAGAATCAACACAAGTGATTTGCTTTATCAAGAGAAGTTTTGGTTATGGTCCACTAATGAGACCCACTATAGGGTTAAGTTTTGGTTTAACAGTAGGTATGGCCCACTAATGAGAGCATAGAAATATTGGTTACAAATGAGGAGTGTTAAAGTTTATTTTAAGTTTTAATAGTGGGTGGGACCCACTAGTCAGATCGTAAAAAGGGGATGTCAAAATTTCCTTTAATAGTGGGTTGGCCAAACATACCAGGAGGATTTAAACTTGTCTTAATAGTGGGTCCCAATAATCAGATCATTTAATTCTGTTTTTGGTGGTGGATGGGACCACCAAATCAGGTTGATTAAAATCTGTTGTGATAGTGGGAATGGCCCAGTTGCCCACTAATAAGAGCATAGAAATTTGTTTCGTCCCATTATCATCATGTTTTATCGTTATGGTGGGTTGGCCCAACAAACCAGAAGGATTAAAAAGCCTTTTTATTTTTAATAGTGGTGAGACCCACCAAACCAGGATGATTAAAATCTGTTGTGACATTGGGTATGGCCCACTAGTAAGAGCATAGGAATTTGTCTTGTCCCATAATCATCCTGTTTAGTGGTGGATAAGACCCACTGAATGTGAACTAGTCTAGGAATTGTTTATATATATTTGAGTAGTCAAAAGTTCTCTCGTGAGATAGGATTATATATAAGGGTGTCCACCAAATATAATCCTAATCTCAGGGAGTTAAAACTTCAATCGTTATCACAACTACTTTCTTACATGGCATGTAGCCTAAAGATATGTGTATGCCTTAAAACAAGACAATAGTCCCCATGCCCTTCGACTCTTTGAGAGTTACGTAAGGATTAGAAATGGAAAGAAAAACAAATGCCTAAGAATAAGATGTGTGGACAGGATATAAGGGGAGAAAGAAAAGAGGATAGGCATTACCTATACTATCTAGAATAGTGGAATTATCTTTATCTTCTTTCTTCCTTTGTTTGACTGCTTCAACCCTCTCATCCTCTCTGTTCTCCCTTCCTTTTCTTTTTACAATAGCAGAATTATCTTTATCTTCTTTCCACCTTTGTTTGACAGTTTCAACCCTCTCACCCTCTCTGTTCTCCCTTCCTTTTCTTTCTTTCTTCTTCTTCTTCTTCCCCCTTTATATAGATCAGAGTAGTTATGAGGAGTTAAAATAACCTCCCTTCTCTTCATACATGGGATTGGTTATTTAACTCTCTTTCATAACCATCTGATTTGAATTTTAAACTATTTCAAATTCAAATTAGGTAAGTCAGATGAGCTGAAGTTAGTGGGCCAGCAATCATGTCTAGCCCACTGTTAAATTATGAGTCTTTTAATCACTTCTTACTACTTAAAACCATGTTGTTTTTCATTTCCTAGCTCATTAAGCTTGTAACAGATGGACGTGGTAGGTTTTAGTGTTTTAAAACATGGAGGAGTGACATGAGGTGTTCCACTACCTGCAGGCGTGAGGCGTAGTTTAGAATGTACGAGGTGTAAGCCTCCCGAACACAAGGAGGTGTAAGCCTCTTTAAGAGGAGGGGGATGAGGAGGAGGGGGAAGAAGTGGAAGCAGGATCTCATTCTTCTTTATTTTTAATACAAATATTTTATATTAAGAAGAATGAAGATGCATAACACTAGCTGAAGGTGGGGGGGTTGTTGAAGCGGAAGCGAGTGAGCCGGGGTAGAGCAAAACCCCCTAGCACAAAAAAACCAAATTGGGCTTGCATTTGGGGATGGGGGCTTGTCCCCAATGCACTTTTTTCCCCCTTCTCTTCCCTTCCCTTTTCTTTTTCTTTCCCTTTCCTTTCCTTTCTTTTGTTGTTTTTTTTTTTTTTCATTCTTTTTCTGTCTTTTTATGAGGTGTATGCGAGGCACACTAGGTGTAGCCTCTAATCATGAAAAGGGTGTATGAGGCATATGCCTCTTGTGCCTGAGGTGTATGCCTCAGAGGTGTTGGCGCCTGGCATACGCCTCAGGGTGTTTTGAGGGCATTTCGCCTCCAAGCGTACACCTGCCATGCCTCCCATCCTTTGAGGCGTACGACGCCTCTGGCATATGCCTCAGGGCGTTTTGGGGGTGCCTTGCCTGGAGGTGCACGCCTCCAATGCCTTTTAAAACACTGGTAGGTTTGGAAGTTCAAGAAAGTGAAGACAACTGGATTCTTGATCCAGTGAGATCAGTTGGGAAGAAATTTGAATTGGACAGAGTTATGGATGAGGAAGTGTAAGTAAAATTATGGGTTGATTTTCTTGGGTGGGGAAGAGTTTGAAAGGAAAACTTTTATGGAATTGGAAGTTACTACTCATGAACGTGGAGATGGAAGAGTAGTGGATAGGAATTAGGTCTGTTTTGATGGTTGGGGCGTGGTTTCAACTTTCAAGGGCTGGGAGGGTTGGGTGAAGTGGAATTTTGGGAGTTGGGCAAAGTGGGAATTTTATTGCCTTTTGGGTTGAATTTGTGGGCGGTTTATATAAATTTCATGTTTGTTTGTTTTTTTTTGGTTTTGGGTGATTACTCACTACCTGATTGTATTTTTATGCTTTATATGATTTTAATGAATATATTTTTTATTTATTTTCAAAAAAAAAAAGAAAAAAACAGATCACTTCTTATAGGTGTTGTAGGTGGTCTTCTTTGCATGTGACTAAATCCTCTTAGTCTATTTTACCTCATTTTATCACCTGATGAAGGAAGATTTGGCCCGACCTCGTAATCACTCAACACATGGCAAAGGCAAATAGCTCGGCACAACAGCGCACCCAAGGCGCAAGCACCAAAGGGAAGAAACCAGCAGTCCGAACTCCCTTCTAGGAACCTGAACTCCCTACGAGGAGCCCGACCTCCCTACGAGGAACCCGACCTCCCTACGAGGAGCCCGACCTCCCTACGAGGAGCCCGAACTCTCTCTTAGGCCCCGAGCCACACAAGGCAGTAACCCGAACTGGCCCGCCTCATGGCAGTTCGGGACACTCCCCTATCCGAACTCAAGACTTCACCTTGTTCGCCTCTCCAGCACTTCGCCTCCGAGGCGCCGAACTGAACAAACGTACCATACCTAACACCGAGGAGGTCCGTACCCAAGGGCGGCGCACCTGACTGACTTGGGATCTGACGCTTGACAGCCGCACTTCAACGGTCACCTACCACCGCCACCTGCCACCGTCATCGACAGTCGCAGAGACGGCTCCGACAAATGGGAGCAGTGGCGGTTCTGTCCAGTAGAGGGGATGACACCCGAACTGGTAGG